TCCTTGGCCATCTCTTGCTGCGGGTGCAGAAGTGGTGCAGCCGCTATTTTCAAGATTTTTTGTGTTTATTTCTTGTTAGGGGGAGGAAGAAGGTAGATCCTGAAGATCTCACAGGTGAAAAAGTCCCATAGCTGCTTGTGGAAAAGGAGTGGGTACCGGGTGGGAGCTCCACTGAGCTACAGTCTCTCTTCACCCTTTCCCCATCTTCCCTGATCTTCCCCCGTCCCTCCCTGCTTAGTCCCTCCTTGGTCCATGTCCTCGGCCCTTGCTCCCTCTTTCCCCACTGCTGCACTGAGAATCTCCTCCTGCCTCTGGCCCTGCTCCCAAATGCCCCCTTGCAGCCCCTCGCCCCGTGCTGGTGCCCGCTCTCTTGGCTCTGATCGTATTTGCTCTTCCACTTCTGCAACTCTTCCATCTGTTCTACACCTCCTCCAGGCTTTACGAGGTTGTTTGTTTTTTTTTTTTTTTCTTTCACCCACATGTCACCGCATTGGCAGGGCCTCATCCGCTTTCTTTATCCTCATGGTAAAATATTTTCCATAACAGGATTCATACTTCCCCCGATCAACCCCACCATGGAAGCAGTAGGAACCACTAAGAAACTTCTTTATAAGTTGGTCATCAGTCAGTTTGGAGATATGGGTTGTTCCCATGGTCAGAAGTTGTTGGTTTCCAACAGCAACTGTTTTTTATGGATGGAATAAAATCTATCCGCTTTTGTTGAATGCATTTCTTCCTCCTTAATTCTTCTAAAAGGCATCTTCATCAATTCTTGCTGTTTCTCCAGCTGTTCCAGGTTATGGTGTTTAAGTAGCGATCTGGTAGTGGCTGGCAAAAAATACTATTCACAGGGGAAGCCCTGAACCTGTATTTAGGATGGCTGCATAACAGAGGTGTCAGTATAACCCCTTCTTATTCACAAGTTGTGATTTCGGCTACGGAGAGGATCTCGTGCTTAGCTTCTGGATGGTGGATGTACATGACTGTGCTTGATCCGGGTAGGTTTTGTCTGAAGCTACAAGGTGTGCCATTTCCCATTTCTGCAGGACGTGGCCACCTCGTGGGGACACAGTCACTCCATGGGGATGTGAACACCCTGCGGGGACATGGCCATCCCATGGGGACACGGCCACCCCATGGGAACATGGACACCCATGGACACCCCGTGGGGACATGGCCACCCCATGGGAATGTGAACGCCCACGGACACCCTGCGGGGACGTGGCCACCCCGTGGGGACACGGCCACCCCATGGGAACATGGACACCCATGGACACCCCGTGGGGACATGGCCACCCCATGGGAATGTGAACGCCCACGGACACCCTGCGGGGACGTGGCCACCCCGTGGGGACACGGCCACCCCATGGGAACATGGACACCCATGGACACCCCGTGGGGACATGGCCACCCCATGGGAATGTGAACGCCCACGGACACCCTGCGGGGACGTGGCCACCCCGTGGGGACACGGCCACCCCATGGGAACATGGACACCCATGGACACCCCGTGGGGACATGGCCACCCCATGGGAATGTGAACGCCCACGGACACCCTGCGGGGACGTGGCCACCCCGTGGGGACACGGCCACCCCATGGGAACATGGACACCCATGGACACCCCGTGGGGACATGGCCACCCCATGGGAATGTGAACGCCCACGGACACCCTGCGGGGACGTGGCCACCCCGTGGGGACACGGCCACCCCATGGGAACGTGGACTCCCATGGACACCCCACGGAGACGTGGCCACCCTGTGGGAATGTGGACATCCACGGGCACTCCGCAGGGACATGGCCACCCCATGGGAATATGGACGCCCATAGACACCCTGCGGGGACGTGGACAGCCTGTGGGGACACAGCAACTCCATGGGAACATCGACACCCATGGACACCCCATGGGGACATGGCCACGCCATGGGAACGTGGACGCCCATGGACACCCTGTGGGGATGTGGCCATGCCATGGGAACGTGGACACCCACAGACACCCCACGGAGACATGGCCACCCTGTGGGAATGTGGATGCCCACGGACACCCCATGGGGACATGGCCACGCCATGGGAACGTGGACGCCCATGGACACCCTGTGGGGATGTGGCCATGCCATGGGAACGTGGACACCCACAGACACCCCACGGAGACATGGCCACCCTGTGGGAATGTGGATGCCCACGGACACTCCATGGGGACATAGCCATGGGAACGTGGACACCCACGGACACCCCGCGAGGTCGTGGCCACCCCGTGGGAACGTGGACACCCACGGACACCCCACGGAGACGTGGCCACCCCGTGGGGACGTGGATACCCACGGGCA